GCTGTGAACTTTGCCAAGGAGTTATTCACATTTCAGCTGACCCAAGATTTTTAATTATCCTCTAACTCCCAAACCATCCATTCTGCAGTAGCACACGGGAAAGAGAAGCCTTCATTTTCCTGTAGATTTCTTCTTGACCTGATCCCAGAAGTGATTTCTTGGGGGATACTCTTGATAAATACGTAGCTCATAAGGAGAGCAAGAAAGGGGTCCAATCTGTGACAGGAAAGAAAGAGACACAAACACCTTCACCGGGTTCCCAACAGATGCTTACTGCACAAAGGACTTGAAGGAACTAATGTTGTTGCTGTGGCAACCATGCATGCCTAAATGAACAATAAAATTAATAGTCCCTAACAGGCTTTGCTGGTATCAATAAAATGATAACACTTTTCTTTACTGGGAAATGTGTGCTCTCTGTGGTGACCCCACTTAGATATGGTTTCTCATACGGTGAAAAATGGTGTTTCAGTCGTAACAAATGGAATAAGCTTCGTATATTCACTGTGTATGCTTCTCTAAGCCCAAAGCAGGAGCCACACTCTCCTGCCTTCCTGCTGCAGGGAAGAGGCACCTTTGAGCCTCCCACCCCCAGCTTCTCTGTGCTGCCCTGTTTAATTTATCAGCCAGTGCTAGTCTCTGATTGAACTTTTGTTAGAAGAACACAAGGCTAAGGAGGAGCTGAGGGGAAGCAGGACGCGGTACAAAGAAGAAAAGGGTAAAATTAGCTAGAACCCATAATTGGGCCCTGCGTGGCCTTGAAGAAGACCCAGTACATATGAATTAAATAGACTGATGTGTTGCTGGCTGAATGGGGCTATTCTAGACAGCAGGGACAAAATTAATCTGGCCTCAGGTAACTTGAGCCACTGATCTGAAGAATTAGATGAATTGTATCTTTGAATAGAGATCAGAAATAAGGAAAGCTTTCTTGGGACATTGGATGGCATTAAAAATCTGTTGGGCCTGGTTAGGGAATGTAGCTCAGTAGTAAGAGTGTGTGTTTAGCTGCATGAAGCCCTGGGTTCAATCCTCAGTTCCCCCAAAAGTCTGCTAAGCCAAGACATTTCAATGCCAGGAGAAATAGTAAAGAAACCCCCATTACTGTTGTAATTAAACTGTGCAGTTACAATTTGTCTTTCAAATGAGAGTAACAGTCTGACCCAGTTTTGAGAAAAAAATTCATTCTCCCAAATGCTTGTTATTGCTGCATGATAGAATTATAATGAAAAAATGTTTCTGGATAAATAATTTCCCCAGATTTTTAGGCAATGTCAACATTGGGAAAAGAGAGTTTTGTCAGGTAATGTTGGTAACGTGACTTAAATGTTTAAAACCTGCTGTTAATGAGCTATGTCAAGGATTTAGAATAGTGGGCTGGGGCAAAATCAGACAGCCTAGTGCCAGCCAGTCTACCCAGCTATGCATCCAAGGTTGCCCAAAAGAGTGAGCAAGAACACAGTCATCTCCATGTGCACGCATTGCAGTCCAGAGGGTACACACAGCTAATGAGAGTACACATCATTTCTTTTAAAGGAAGTATGTACCCATGGACACCAAAACCCACCCAAAATACTCAGAGGGGATATCTGAACATTACAGGGTGAGTTAGACTCACATAGGAGTTGCTCTTTAATACTTTTCCATGAGTTTGATAACAGGGTGAGTTTTTGAAAAGTAAGGCATGTCTTTGCTACACAAAGGAGAGAGGTGTGCCTCAAACAGCGTACCATGGGGTTATGAGACCTCCACATGAAAATAAAACTACCATCCCAAAGCTTCCGTCTATAGCTAGAATGTATCTTCCAGAAGTTCATGTTGGAAGCTTGGTATTCAATACACTATAGACCCAAAGGTGGAGCCTAAGAGGTGATTAGACCAGGAGGGTGGGTGAATTAAAATGATCACAGTGCGGTCTTAGCTAAAAAAGAGAATTCATTGTGTGAAAAAAGAAATTAAAAAAAAAAAGAGAGATACTCTTCATGTTCTCTCTCACCTAATCAACTGTGCTCTGAACTTCCGCTATGGGGTGGCAGCTACTGACAGCCATGCCACTGGGTGCAAAGAGAGATGGGGTTGGTGGATCTTGAAGGAGCTGAAGGTATGAATATGATCAAAGGGCAATTCTCGAAAATAAGTATATTATTTTTTAAATGTTTTGTAATGTTTAAAGTGTATTCAATTAATTTGCTACTTAAATGAAAAATATAGATCACAGCTTTGGCTAGACCAATCACTGTAGATGAGTCTGCCCTGCACCCCGGCTTCAGTTTTCTCTCTCAGTGACAAGGGGTTAGCTGAACTACAGTCCAATGTCTCTTCCACCTTCAGTATTACGTGATTATTAGTGAACAAGTCAAGGAAGGAAGGAGAATCCCTGTGAATTCTCTGTAAACTGACCAGCCACTTCCTGCTTTTTCTTTTCTACCACGGACAATTTGATGGGGGGGAGGGGGTAGCTGGAGTGAGAAAAGCCTAATTGAGCAAGAGTCTTGATCCACGTGACCAGACTTTACTGGTCACAAGAAAGCCTCAGTTTGCTCACATAATTCTAGATCCCCCCAAAAGGAGAAGTCACTAATTCTTCCTTGAATCTGAACTCAGTCAGACTTGCACAGGGTTTCCAGTGGCATCCAAAGGAAGCGAGGAGCAAAGTCTACACTTCTTAAGGCGCTGGGCACCTGGTATATCCCAGGCTTCTTAGCAACAGTTGGGGATGGAGCAAGAAGGGCGTACAGGATCTGCCCTGGGGTCTCCAAGGCTGGTTGAAGACACAGACAAGAAGACAAATCTCTGGCGGCGGGAATAGGTGATGAGCGCTGTGAGTGGGTAAACAGACGGTGCAGAATGAACAAATTCAAGAAGAGCGTGAGGCCTTGCAGGAGAGCTTTTCCTGGAGGGAGTGGTAACTAAATGACCACAGACATTTGCCAGGTTTAGTTCACAGTCTAGGGTGCGGGAGGGACAACCTAGATGGAACTCTATGGTGAGGTCACTCAGCTTCCACTTTATGCCTCCGTTTAATAGCTATGTGGGACTGTTCAGAGTTCTTACGTTTGCCAGGCTTTGTTTTCTCATCTGTGAAATGGGAATAATCATAGTACATCTGACTTGCTGTAAGATTCAGGGAGAGAATCCTTGCATTCAGCATCCATCACTATTGACAGTGCAATAGCTGTAGGACAAGACAGGTCAAAGTCCAGGCAGAAAGCCTAGGAATGAGTAGGTCGCAGGGGACATTTGGTGTCCTGAAGGTAATCCAATTTAGTTGGAAAGGAGAATGGGAAGAGGCTGTGAGAAGAGGTGGGTGCAAAGCCAGGCACCAGAGGGCAAAGGCCCTGTATGCTTTGTGAAGGAGGTTGGAGTTTCTCCTGGATGAATGCAGAACATTGAAGGATTACAGGAGAGACCGCTGATGCTCACTACCCACATTTATTAGTAGGTGAGGAGTGTACGTGGACATGTAAAAATATTTATTTTACCCTAAAGCATTAGGACTGTCCATCCACCAGACAGTCTCCTCCACGGTGGAGAAAATCCTGGTGGAAATTGACAACTCACATACAAGGTTTCTCTTCCTATGGTAGGTTTGTGATGCTGGAGCTCAAATAACAGCAGTTCATTCAGGGAAGGCATTACCCAAATAATACACCTCAGCTTAAGAGAACCAGCTTAAAAATTAATATAGTATGTCTTCTCATGAGTCATGAACTGTAACACACAGCCTGCCTCTCTTGAGTCATTAAACTTATTCTATTAGGTTACAGAAAACCCCAAATCAACTAGCCCTGATCTGGCTGGATTTAGTTTTTAGGACACATATCTCTTTTTATCTAGCAGAAGAAGACAAGCATAAACCACAGAAACAAAGCTTCATGTAATCCCGATGCAAGATACACACCTTCCATCCCTTCAGGCCATACCTCCAAAGGGAATTGTAGTAAAACAAACAAAGATTTCTTGGATGATGAACATTGAAGTGAAGAGATGTTCCGAGGAAAATAAATGATGCATGTTGATACAGATAACCCTAAAGGCTTCTGGGTAACTCAATGCCAAGATAACATGAACCATTCATAATGGCAGTAGGCAGGAAAATGACAGATATGCTATGTGTCTGGAAGAGAAATGGAACCCAAAATGGGACCTGGAACTGTAGTGTAGGAACTGCTGGGCCACTGAAGTCAGAAGAGTTAGCACATCATGTTGAAGAACACTAAAAACGAGAGAGGAAGCAAGCATGCACACTCCAGCCTCTCAACCACAAAGGAGCACCGTCACTGCAGAACTGCCAAGTGCTCCTGTGGTCACACCAAAGGACGTACAAAGAAGAACCGGCTGGCATCCACACATCACCCATTTCACATATCCATCTGAAGACTCACTAGTACCATTCTGCAAGCACGTTTACATGATTTACATGTCAATGACATTTAAAAGATTATATTTAATGATGTGCATGCGTGCATGCCTATATGTGAATATGTGCATGTGCATACAGGTGTCTGAAAAGGCCAGGAACATCTGATCCCCTGGAGCTGGCATCACAGATAGTTGTGAGCTGCCCAACACAATTGATGGGAACTGACACCAGTCCTCTGCAAAAGCAGAACGTACTTTTAATGGTTGAACCCCATCAACAATCATTTTAATGTATTTATTTTTGAATGTTTATGGCAAGGCACCATCCTAATAACTGGGAACAATATCAAGAAGCAGGGGATACATACATTGACCTCAGAAGATTCACTGCCTACTAGATGTGGCAGGCCACAGACTTCATCTGTAACATGGGGCACAAAGTACTCAAAAGCACCACAGAGAGTCAGATGAAGTGTTAAAAGATCATCACATACATATTTAAGGAACACTGGTATGTCAGTAAATTGTAGATTCAGAAAATCTGTTTTTATTAACCTCATTCATTTTATGGATTAACAAGGAGCAATGTGATTTTGCTAATTGACAATTCAATTAAAACTCAGATCCAGCAGCTGATATTGATTAGCAGGTGGTGGTGGCAATAGAAAGGCCAGACCTTTCTGAATGGCGCTGAACTCCAGAGCAGCTCTCTTAGTGGGTGTGAAGGTATCTTTAGCTTTTCCTTTGCAGAGAAAGGCAGGAGGAAGGGTTGGAGTAGCATGCCTGTGGTCTTTGTCCAGGAGACACTTGTTCTGTTCTGCCACTGCTGCAGAGAACAAGAGGCATGCCCCAAAATGCTCCTAAATAAAGGAATTCAAATTAGAAGTAAGAAAAATCAGGCTCATTCTCATATAGCTGGCATCCTGTCAGGCACTGTGCCAGCAAAGGGAAGCTTAGGACAGCACTGCCTTCCCCTTTCCTCCTCTACTCTAAAAGGTACTCGTTAGGTTTAAGAGATTAGCTGTTCTTGCAGAACTGCCAGCACTGCCCACACTCACATTCAGCGTTCAAGGGGATCCAGTCCAGCTGTGGAAGGGCATGAGCGATAAAAGCCTTCCTTCGGGAGTGAGGAATTTCCATACCCACTCACTAAGATAGTCTAAGGGTGTAGAGAGGGAAGTTTTGATTTTGATACTTAAAATGACAAAGCCCTGTTAGTCCCAGCTCTGTAGCTCTGATATGGGAACCAAGTTCATGTTGTGGATTCCTTTGCAGTTATTATGTCTACCTCTTCATGAAGCCTCTTCAACTGATGGAAATGAGAGATGGCTTTATCTTGTTCTCCATCACTTTCACCAACACATTTACTTGTGTGTATATGTGTGTGTGTTACACGCATGTGAAGTGCAAGTCTGTGTTCCTGTGCATGCATATGTGGAAGCCAGAGCAGGATGTTGGGTGTCTTCCCTGATGTTCTTTGCCTTAGTACCTTGAAAAGGGTCTTTCACTGAATCAAAAGCTTGGTGTTTTAGCTAGACTGGCTGCCCGAAGAACTCTCCAGATCTCCAAGTCTCTGCTCCTCAGTTCTGGACTACAGGCACATGCAGTCAGCCTGGACTTTCACGTGGATGCTGAGGGTTGAAACTCAGATCCTCATGAAAAAAAAATCCTTACTCATTGAGACATTTCCCCTGCCTTGGAACTGAATTCTTAGATGTGATGGGAAATCACATCTAAGAATGGAGAAAATTTCAAAAGATTTCATGACTTAAGAAAATATATTCAAGTCTATGACATTAGTAAAATATTTAAAATTAAATCATTGAAAAATAATATGAGGCCTGGAGGTAGTGGTGGCACATGCCTTTAATCCCAGCACTTGGGAGGCAGAGACAGACATATCTATGTAGATTCAAGACCAATCTGGTCTGCAGAGTGGGTTCCTGGACAGGCTCCAAAACTACACAGAGAAACTCTGTCTCAAAAAAAAAACAAAAATCATCATCATCATCATCATGCAAGGTTGCTCATGCACCAAGATGTGTTAATACGCTGTGTAAGAGAAGAATAACATTGGAGATATAAGCCTTACTTTTTAAAGATTTGCTTATTATGTATACAATATTCTGTCTGCATGTATGCCTGCAGACCAGACCTCATCACAGATGGTTGTGAGCCACCATGTGGTTGCTAGGAATTGAACTCAAGACCTTTGGAAGAGTAGGCAATGCTTTCAACCATTGAGCCATCTCTCCAGCCCTAAGACTTATTTTCAAGCTTATAATCTACTTGGGAAGCTAAGGTANATTAACTATTAAAACAATACCAAGAGGCTAGCACACAAAGAGTTTAAGGGATGAGAAATACCGATGTTAATGTTGGACTTTATTTCAAAAGGCTTTGGGCATGTTAGTAGATCACCAACCAGGCTCTCTACCTGTTATCAAGACTCTCTGTGAATTGGTTTAACATTGATGGCACTTACTGGCAAGAATTTCAAGTTATTGTTTTACTTTTGGCATTATTGTTTTATTTTTGGCATTTTTAATATCAAAAAAGTAATTTGATGTTTTGTTCAAATTTTGCATGACTTAAAAAAAAGATGTGTGTATGTACACGTGAAATTGCACGCCCTTGGAGGTTAGAAGGGTGTTAAATCCCCTAGAGCTGGAGTTACAGACAATTGTGAACCACCAGAAGAAGATCCTCTGCAAGAACAGCAAGTTCTCTTAACTGCTGAGCTACGTCCAGCCCCTCCATGATACTTTTCAATATCGTAGAAACTATTCTCCCCATCCAGACTCTCAAACTGACTATTTCTAAATAAGATTACAATTAATTAAGGAATCCCTATTTTGTTTAAATCTTACTTTATATGATTTCTTTCATTTTAAGGATATAGATTCTCTAAATTCTTCTTTTTGTCTCTGTTTCTGTGTGTGTGTGTGTCTGTCATGTGTGTGCGTGTGTGTGTGTCTGTCTGTCTGTCTCACTCTGTGTCTGTCTCTCTTTATCTCATTCTTACGAAACATCTTATGCCTCACGAATAGATATGGAAATTATTTTAGAGAAGTTGAGATTTTGATTTTGTGGTCTCTGCAAACATGCCACCCTCTTGCAAAATCAACTTTTAAACTTTAATTTTAAAATGTCACATCTTAGATTTCTTAGTTCATTTTCTCTTTACCAAAAAAGACATGAGAATCAAAGCTGAGCATGTGGTGGAAAAGCGAAGAGTCTAGAGAGCTTCTAGGGATGCGACTATTGCCGCGGCTCTATATTAGCTAGATCACAGGCCACATGCTAAGTAAGTGCCTTGCCTGGTTTCTTTTGTTTTTGCTAAACACAAAACTAGAATCTTACATGCATAATAAAGATGCTGATAATTGTTTTAGTTTTATAATTGGGAGTCAGCTGTGTCTCAAAATGGTGAGTCTAAAAGCCACTCTGAAGACAAAGTACTACATGTATTCAAAAAAGATATAAATAGTGGGGCATGGTGGTGCATGTCTGTAATTTCTGCAGTTTATGTGGTGCTTGGGTTGAACCTGGGATTTTATGCATGCTACAAGCACTCTAAAAGTTGAGCTAACTCTTGGCCCTGATAGACTGCTTGCATGTTCTCAAATAGCTGCTGAAAAGGTACTTAATGATTACAAAGGCGCCAGGTGATGGTGGTGCACATCTTTAATTCCAACACTTGGGAGGCAGAGGCAGGCGGATTTCTGAGAGTTTGAGGCCACCCTGGTCTACTCAAGTTAATTCCAGGACAGGTCCCAAAGCTACAGAGAAACCCTGTGTCAAAAAACAGGAACAAAAATTACAAAGGAAAAAAAGATAGCTTTTAAAAGGAGAGAATTGGCAGATACCATCTTAGCCATGTTATCCAAGCGAATGTTGCCTTAGGTAAGACACTTTGAAATGAGGGATTCAGAATCAATTCTTTGATCTGCTTGGTAAGGTACATTACTTAAAACCTATCATGAGGAAACACCAGACAAAACTGATAGAGGAACAGTCTACCAAATAACTGATCTATAACTCTTTAAAGACATCAAGATATTCAACTAAAGCAAAGACTGGAGAAATGAATGTCCCATTCCAAAAGAGGTTTAGGGAGTCTTGACAAATAAACACAACAATGTTCTGAATGGAATCAACTTTCTATAAGTGATATCAATGGGACAATCATAAAACTGTAAGGAAGTATGATCATTAGATTATAACCACAGATCGGTATTAATTTCCTGATTCTGGTGGTTACTTAACAATTGTAGAGAAAGTCCTTATGTATAGGAATGCACACAAATGTACTCTCACAGAACATCAGAGCCCAAGCTCATTTTCAGACCATCTGGGAAGGGGCTGGGGCGATGGCTCTACCGCTGTAACAACAAGCATTAAAGACCTTAGTTCAGATTCCCAGTGTTCATATAAAAGCCGGGTGTTTATAACTTCAGCACTAATGAAGGACACAGAGAGAGGATCCTTGGAATTCACTGGCCAGCCAGTCTAGTGAAACTGGTATGTGCTAGGTCTAAGGAGAGACCTTGTCTCAAAGAATAAAGTAGAGAGCTACTAAGGAAGACACCAGTATAAATCTCTGGTCTCTGCATATGTGTGCACATATATGCATGTGTACCTGCACACATGAATATACACACATACAAATTATTTGGGGAGCATTGTTATTTGTACTTAACTAACCATTAATTCAAGATCCCTCAAAATTAAAAAGCAATAACTATTATTTATAATAAATAACAAATGTAATAATTACAGAAAAGGCTGGAAATTGAAAGTATGGAAAAACCCCAATGTGTGCCTCACATAATTCAATGAGCAGAAAAGAAAGGCCAGGCTGGGAAGACACCAGTATGAGAAGTAATGGGTAAGGACTGCTAAGAATTTTCCAGGCTGAGTAGTGACGAAAGAAACGAGCTCCCAGATCAAATGTTTGTGTCAATTTCCCAGAGATAAAACCAAAGCTAAATCCACATCTAAGAATGCCATGGTGTAAGTTCAGATCAGCAGGGAATTGGAGGCCAAGGAAAGCCACTGTCTTTCCCATTACAGTAGATCATGAAGGAGTGCATTGCTGCTGGAGAAAAGGGACGCCTGGAGGAAGCAGGGAGAGATGAGGAGCACAGTCGTCAGGGAGACTGTGAAGGACGGCTTGCTAACCATACTTGACCTGTGATTTCCAAACAGCTCAAACTAAAATTCCATGTAACAAGTGAAATGGCAGGTGGGGGCAGACGTTCTGTGAGAAAAGACCAAGAGATGTTTTGCTGTGTTTGGAGACCAGGGAAACTAGAAAACTAAGTAAAAATGTGAGGAACTTATGAAACAAACAAAACAAAAACAGAATCTCAAATTTTTAAATAACTAGTATGGAAACGAGAAAAAGAATAATAAAAATGTATGAATCTAACATATAGAGCTAAGTAAATAGAAAATCATATAATAGAAATAAACCCAGCCATTTAATTAATTATAATATCTGGAACAGATTAAACTCAGTTAATCAAAGAAGTTACTGTAACTGTCAGAGTAGCAAATGTCAGCAGTGGGTCACTTTAAGAGACATGCCTAAAGCAAATAGCAACCAAAAAATTTAAGAAGTCATTTAAGACTTCATTAACAGAGATAAACAGTTTTCTTTAAAGTGATTTTTTAAGAGGGTAGCTCTAACAGGCATGCTCCACAAAGGGTAGCTCTAAAGGTGTGCTCCACCAAGCCCAGCTCTAACAGACGGGCTTCACCAAGTTCAGCTCTAACAGGTGTGCTCCACCAAGCCTGGCTCTAACAAGTAGGCTTCACCAAGCCCAGCTCTAACGTGAATTTAAGTCTACAAGAA